TCAGTCAAGATCTAAATTTTCCCATCCTGCGTACAACTTGGCCAATTGCCACCTTAGAGCGGTGGCAAGTTGTGCAAAAAGCGATACTGTCAACAAACTATGCAAGGTGATTGAACGAAAAACTGAAGTTGCTCCAGGAATTTGACCCCAACACACTGTTCACGTTAAGTAGTACTCTGGTAGGCTCTCCAGACTTTTAAGATCCAAACGCCCTGCTAATGCCACCGTTTGTGGCCCAATAGATCGAGATCCCTCCCTTTTGGGTAGTGTCCACCTGGAGATTTACAACGCAACTTGTCACAATTGATCCCAAGCATGCGCTGCTATATCATCATGCATGCACGTCCTTGCCAAACATTGCCATCAAATCTTTGGTTGATGCCTACTGGCCAGCCTGCAGTTTGACTCCTTCGGATTCACTGACGTGGGCTGCCAACTCCTTATCCGCCTTGTTGACGTAAAATCCTGCCGTACTCAGCCTTGGATCACACTTTACATTTTCAGCTTCAATCCCTTTGCATGCATGTGAGTATGCTTGAACCTGGGCCTCCCGCAGAACACCGATTGATTTCCCTTTCTCCGGACCAGACATCGTGAATGACCTCGTGCATGAGTAAAAGCGGATCACGGAACATGCTGACCGATCGTAGCAAGTAAGGTAGCGACTTCCTTGTGACCTTGTCTGGGATTCTAGTCGACAACAATGGATCCTTTTTTGCGAGGCTCCGGACCTTCAAGAAGTTGACTGCCTTGCAAAAAACGGCATAATTCGGAGAGACTTAAACGTGGGCAGGTTGAGCGAGCATTACTGCTGAACATATCAAATTGAACGATGTACTTTTGATCGATACGATCGGCATGGTACGTACGTTACAATGGCCCGCTCCGGAATCCCACTGTGGCCTCTTTGCTAGTGTCCGTTGGCTCTTCTGCAGCGCTCTCTGGAGGCTCAGCTTCATCGGAGGCCGCATCTGTCTTTGCTTTCTTGCGACTAGCACTCGAACTTGACGGCGCGAAGGAAGCTGGGTTTGCTGATGGCCTCTTCCTTGGAAGGACTTTTGGGGATTCTTGTTTTGCTCTTCCCCTGCCCCTTGCTCTACCTCGACCCCTTCCCCTTCCTCTGCCTCGAGGTCTACCACTTGCCTCACGATCTTCGTCTGACTGATTGTCCCTGTGGTCCCGATCCGGGTCCTCCTCATCTTCCTCCGCATCCTTCAATGCTTTTCTCACAACTCTTTGTGCCTGCGCCCGACCAAAACAACTAAAACTGGGCAACAATCTCCTAATCTGTCAAATTCACAGCGTGTGGTGCATGGCGTCTGTGGTGCATGGATGCCTTCATCAAGTCCTCATTCCGGCAAGTTTTTGCCAACTCTTCCTCCTTCTCATCAGCTGCTCGTTCAAGTTCTTCATATTCAGAGGGCAATGGTGCCAATGGACGGCGATCCTGCAGTAGAGTTGCCCATATCATATGCATCGGTGAGCCATGATCTAGTGTAAAGACGTTAAAGAGAAACATGTTATCCGGCCTTGTTTACTCCTTTTTTCCCATCGTCTTCGCTTACCACCTCTGCCTCGCTGATCCCGTCTTTTGCCTCTTCTCTTGGCTGGTCCTCCCCACCTCCATGAGCCTGGCTTTCCTCGGAAGTGTTTCTGAAGACCTTTCCTACCTCGTGGTCTTGGTACCATGGTTCGACTGTCTCATCATCTGTGCCTTGCTCTTCCTCTGCGCCCTCCAATGGATTGCTCAAGTCCACCTCAAGCTCAGTAGCGCTGCAGTCCTCCCCATCAAGCGATGGCTCTTGTGGTGCTTGTGTCTCCTCCTCGTCCACGGCCTTGTGACAAGCGCTGCGCTGCGTATGGGTGAACGCATGGCGGTTAGTAAGTTCTAGAAACTAAAAATCAATATTACTGCCTGTGCTTTTCACAAACATGCACTGCCCAACCAGCCTTTCTGGGGGCTGCTGGACCACGGCTTGGAACTTTTTTGCCCTCCGTGGACAAGAGCCCCTCGTCCTGCCAAACAACATACTAAATCGACGTTCCTCTGCCGATTGCGCGCCTCCAAAGTGGAACGGATTACTTCCTTGATGTTTTGCATCAATGGATGGCCTGGCCTGGAAGGTCAGCAACAAATCAATCACATTCAATCACCAATTCAACCGGACACAACATTGAAAAGCAAAACAACTCTTAGTCTCGCAGCACAATTCATGCAATGAACCAGGTTTGGCCTCGCTGCCCGATTGTTCTGGAAAAGCTTCATGCAGTGGGCAGCCATTGCCCTGTGGATCGATCCCTCGCGCGACGCCCAAGCCTTGGCAATTCCAAAATCAAATGGTGCCATGTCCAAGGTTGAACTAGGATCGACGTCGGATACTGTCAGACGATGGATCGAACAGACACTTCGAGCAGCATGACAAAGCAGCTGATTGTAAGTCCAAGTCGCTGTGTTCTGCCAACGCTGGAACTTGGGATTTAGATTGAATCGCTCAGAAACTTCTGCCAAAATCACCTGCCCACTCCAAAAAAGATCAATGGTAGAGGGTTTGGAAAAATTGCACTCCACTATTCACTGCACTAGTTGCACTTGATCTCAGCATCACAGTTTTTTCACCATGCTGCGCCTGCACCTCCATCTTCCGTGGAGGACGAGCTGCAAAGCTGGCCAAGTAGTTGCAAACGAAGTCGTAGTTAAGCTCGACCTGTGGCGGCAAGAAGCAGAACCGCAACTTTAGTTTTTGTATTCTAGCTAGTGCAGCGCCAAACTAAACTTGGGCTAAGACATCGATTTCTGAAATTGTGCTTTTGCGTTCCTCTCCCTCTTCGAGCTTGAGCTTCACAAAGGAAAATTGCGGAACCTAGGGTTTTCACATTGGCCTAAAACGGTGTTGCTTAAAAATGGTTTCCATGCTGATTGCAAGAGAATCTGCAATGACCTGAATTGCATTAACGTGCAGTCTGAAAACCATGCCCTTTGGTGTACTCTTTCGAATTTCTCTTTTCCTCTCATTGACCCAATCTTCCTTTCCAGCAAAATCAGCATAAAATTCCTGCCAGTCAGGAGTTGAGACTCCTCTTGAAAAAGATTGCATGCAGGCAGTCCTTCAAGAGAGCGAGTATGTGAGGTCGCAGGTTGCGGTTCTTCCTACTGGACATGACTCGACCTACAAAAAATGGTTGCCGGCAGGAAACAGATTTCCCCTTGAGCCAATTGAATCCAACAGAGGAAGAGAGAGATCGAAGTGGTCGTGCAACTGCAATGTTCATTCATTTAATGCAAATCGATCCACAAATGACATCTTCAGAAATCACGGGCGCACCAGCGGCACTGCATTCCCAATCCACCAGGGATTGTGCAAACGCCGTGTCCAGCAAGGCACTCTGCATTCGATAAGTTCACCCACCATGGCCCACAAAGTATGCGAGCTACCGTGCCCACTTGGTGCAATATTGACTAGACTGTTTCGCTTGCTGGACACCTCGTGTAGCTTCTTGAACTTGCGCTGCAAGCTAAACTGAAGACCTGTATGATTTTTCATTAAAAAGTCTCTCATGACAACCGACATCCACTTAGCCACTGAGCCCATGAATGGACCCGGACAGGATCATAGCTCACTGCAGCTCCAAAGAGCACCCGGTGGCAGGTACAAAAAAACAACCGACCTGGATACATAAAAACATCGGTTTGGGTGCCAATAAACCTTCGACCATTAAGCGCAGAAACGTCGGAGCAAAGTAGGCTGTTTGGCAAGAAAACGTTGGTGTCCACACAGAGGTTTTTTTAACGTCGGATGACGCCCAGGGTAGAGTTTGTTTTGTGAAGCACGTCAATTCTCTCTTGGGAAACGTCTTCGTGAGCCTCTTAATTCAATTCTCTCCTGGAGAACGTCTTCGTGAGCCTCTCATGATTTCAGGATAGTTGAAACCCTCTTGAACATTCAGAAAGAGTGCATATGAAATTCTAATCACGAAAGGTGTTCCCCGAGGGGATCGAAAGGTGTTCCCCGAGGGGATACATACCTAGAGTTTGTTTTGTGAAGCACGTCAATTCTCTCCTGGGGAACGTCTTCGTGAGCCTCTTAACTCAATTCTCTCCTGGAGAACGTCTTCGTGAGCCTCTCATGATTTTAGGATAGTTGAAACCCTCTTGAACATTCAGAAAGAGTGCATATGAAATTCTAATCACGAAAGGTGTTCCCCGACAGGATGCATACCTAGAGTTTGTTTTGTGAAGCACGTCAATTCTCTCCTGGGGAACGTCTTCGTGAGCCTCTTATGGTTTCAGGATAGTTCAAATCCTATGATGCTCCGATTCAATGCTCACCGATGATTTGACCCATGGGGCAAGTTTGTTTTCCTAAGAATCTATTTGAACATTTCGAGAGCATATGTTTGAACATTTAGAGTGCATATGAACATATATTTACGAAAGGTCGCCTCCGAGGGGATAAATCACCATGTCGAACCTTGCATTTTTGTTCCTGCCTCTCGCGTTCTCTTCTCTTCCCGCTGTCCTACCTTTCGTGTCTCCCTCCTCTCAAGTCCATTTGGCTGGCTCTCCTGGTCAGTGGTCCACGAGCGACGTTGGACGTTGGTCTGGCTGGCTCGGCCACAAAGCACGCGGAGACCGGGATTTGAGGAAAGAGGGAAGATCCGAATGAGGAGAAACATGGAGAAACTCATAGAAACTCATACCTTTTCTTGAAGAGCAATTCCAGGATGATTCGCGGGGCAAGCCGGTGCGGGTGTCAAATGGCTTCAACGTGCGAAGATGCAGTGTTTTGTTTGTTTGTTTGTTTTCAAGTTGAGATTGGTTGGGAGTGACTCAGTACATGGTCAGCAAAGTGGGTTCAGTACGTGGGCCCTTTATTAAAAAAACGGCTTGAACATCAAGATTTGGAACAACATATTTGGTTTGTACTCTTCGATGGCTCTAGTTAGTAGGGATTGTAGGGGACAATCACACACGAACAGACAGGCGCATCACATCATGCCAGGCGCATCCAAGTGAGACTGGCTTGATTGGAATTTTGCCGTGTTTGTGAAGCAGGCTGGCATATGCATCCTTGTTCATAATGAGCATCGCTTGCATGGCTACCGCTGAGACATCACTGATCTCACGATTTCCCACACAGCCCAGTCCAGGTGGTTGCCATGGTTTTTGAATTGCAAGTGCTTCCATGATCTCACACGCCAGTATCTGAATTGCAAGTGGTGTCCTTTCAGTCTGTAGACTATTCGGTGCCATGTTTCGGCTTTGACCTTTGAGGTCGATCTGTCCAAGGATGTTTGCCTTCAATTCCAGTGGGAGTGTGAATTACATTGAATTACAGAATTGGAACCAAGTTGAACCAAGTTGAACCAAGTGCCAAAACCACACAAACCGGTGCATATGCATGTGTTCAATGAAACTCTTGCATACCAATACCTCAGAAACCCAAAGTAACTACGCTCACAACTCCTCTCGACTCCACTCATCTCCAAACTAATCTGCCTTACCCACATACAAGATCATATAAGGCATGTAATATACATAATACATCTTCGGATTCGTGATATTCAACTTTTTAGAGCGCCAGGTCCTCGCCCGGGCAGTCGTCCCATCGTTGGACCGGAACCCCGGAGTGGAGAACGACCGGTCCGGAGTACTGGAGCACACGGTGGGGGTGAGCTCCATAGGGCCCCTGAAGCGGTGAATTCAAGCGTCTCACCAATATAGTATGTGGTGAGCGTTTCCTGTGTGAAACCGTTCAAACATGTTGTTTGGCTCACTGGAAATCCCCCTATTTATCGCCCTGTGGGAAGAAAAACACAGGACATACCGAGCGAGTGACCGTGTGGAATACAAGTTTAATATAGCAGAACTTGTCAACTTGCCCTTGCGTCATTTTAGCTTCAATGTTCTTTACACCCATCTAAAAACCAAACGATTAAAGAAAAACTATTTGAACAACGGCCATGGCCTTACACCAAATGACCCATCTGAAAAAAATAACACACACACACACACTGTCTGACCTCTTCTCCCGAAGCCAGCACTCCGTCGTTCGAGGTCTTGGCCCCTTTCGCCTCCCAGAGCTGCCTGCTACTCGGTGGATCGAGTGGAGGTCCGGTGAGGAGGTCCGGTGGAGGTCCAAGAAATACAAAGGTAGGTCAATGGGGTCGTATTTTTTGGAGCAAGATCGATGTGTGCAAATTGACAAATTGAATGATAAGTAGCTAGGCTTGGAGTGCAGCTTGGAGTTTGAATCCTGGTTCTGGGTGAGTACTGATCTCCTCATGGGCGCAATGGTAGAGTATGTGGTGGTGGTCCATCCCTGTTCTGGACAGTGGCAGCTTTTGCTAACTGGTCTTGCGTGGACTACAATGACTACAATCGCACGAAGGGAGTATGCAGGGCAGACCATCATATCACCAACCAGTTGGTAATCAGTGCGACAGAAACAGTCGTCTAATATTAAACAATATTCTATCATCTAAAAATAGTCAAACAGTGGTTATTGTAAAATGCGATGTCGCACAACATCTCTCCGTTGCTCCGGCTAGTCCCTTCCATCCGAGCCCAGGTTTACGGGTTGCCTTTTGCAACGCGGTTCGGCCGTTGGGTGGCCCCAGAACGGCCGCCACGCCACGCTGATCCAGTCCACCTGATTGAAGCTTGGGCCACTCAATGGAAGATATAGCTATAGCTGGCGACCCTCAGTTAGATAAGAAAAAACACAAAAAGAGAATGACTCAATATAAAGATATATAAAGATGTTTTATGACGATTTTGGTATGAGACTTCTCGTGCGTTGAAGGAATGGAGACCGATCAGGATACACGTGCCACAAGGACTGCTTGACGCACAGCACACGAGGTCCCGTTGATTGATGTCCGTGGGTAGTCCCAAGTCCTCATTGGCTTTCATGCCCAGGTCTGGTTAAAAGAATTGTTGCTCTCACTGAATTGCTTGCACCAGGACAGTTCTTGCAATGTGTTTGGCTGGAATCCATGGGCGCCCCAAGCGTGTTTTCCTCGTCAGTCTTCCCTCCAAGCGGGCGCCCAAGAGTCACACGCGTGACTCCCAAGACGACACCGAGGCCCCGCTGGCGGCACGCTGTGCTTCCGGTGCGCGAAAACGGGATGGATGCTGCTGGGTTGGAAAGTCTAGCTGTATATAGAAGTTGAAGGCAGTGCTACGTTCGTACCCTGAAGGCATCAGTAGAAATCAGTGCAACAGTTCTTTTTGCGCTGCCCCCGACCCTGTATCTTTGGAATGGTTCAGAGTCAAGCGGTCATGTCCCACAACCATCTATGTATATATTGTTGCAGGGGGGGGGAAGCCCTGAAAGTAGCACTCGTTTTTGCGTGAGGGGATATTGAACACTCAAAAGTTGCGTCATTGGCAATGCACAAAGCCGTAGGAAACCTGGTGGGCTTTGTGAAAGTGATGAGGCGCACTTCAACGAAAGAGTAATTTGTTCCAATGAAGATGTTTGATTGGTGATGTCCAAAATACTTCACATTATCCTCCTTTGCCTGGGAGGCAACCATTGCCAATGACATGACTATATAATTGATCTCTTTCAGGTAGACACCAAGACCCCGTCCTCAATAGGACAAAGTTTCTTTCTGGGTCTTCAGTCCTTTGGGGTTGCCACTCCCCAGCAAACTCGACTGGGTTGCTGAGGGACATCTTCCCACCATCTTTCAATGAGGAGGGAAGACAACTAGAATCCAAGTGAGTTATTTTTTCAGGCAGAATACGTAGAACCTCGAGGCGAGGGCTCTTGCACCAACGGCTTGCGAAAAGACAATTGAACTGTCCCTTTCACTTTCTCACTTTTAGTTGAAGCAACGAGATGATTTTGATGTGGAATCATTTGCGGCGGGGTCTGTGAAACTTATTAAACCACACAGACCACACAAACGAGTAGTTGGAACCCTAGAAGCACCCTGCCCAGATCCATCTGGAAGGAAAACAACAAAAACGCGTCAGCCTGGGCCCGTCCCTGTGAAAGGTCAACAACCCACCAGCCCCCAGTTCCAGATCCGATCCAGATCCGTTCCATGGGTTCCCCTGAGTCTCTGGGTGTGTATTAAAATAGGGGGCAGATCCCAAGGACATCCTGGAAGAAGCAATATAATATATATATATATATACACCACTATTAAAACGCAGACCCTGGAGAACAACTGTGTGTTCTGAACATTGGAACGGTCTTCTTTGGACATGTCCAATGGGATTATCACAAATGGTTCTCCGGCCTTCGCAGCTGTTGCTTGGCATCCCCGGACATACCCCATGCAAGGCTAATGGGATGTGTGTAATCCGCATCTTTGGTGTCATCTTTCTGGGAATTACAGTAGTTGGAATTAGTAAAAAAACAACAGAGGTTGTAATTAGTTGGAACTTTGGATCCAAAGAGATTTTGGTGGCATCTTTGGAAGGTCAACATTGGTTTCTTTTATAAATACTTGGAGCATTTTGGATCGAGAAACAACTGGCCCCCGCACGACGACGGGGGAAGTGTGCACGCCTTGATTGATGAGTGCCCTTGTCGCGCTTCATGATTTTTTGTCACCCGTCAAGATGTGCGATGTGCATATTGTTTTCTTAGATCAGTTCTGCTTTGCATATTGTTCAAAAGAAAGCCCCTTGTCATGGTGACAGATGGTGTGCTGTTTTTGTGCAAGAGACTGGGCAGATGCGCTCTTTGGCCACCTAGCTTTCAGAGACCTCTCTACTACCTTGCTGGGCAAAGCCGGGAGTAGAAGGTTCGACAGTTTGATGTCCCTGCTGCTACTCCTTCGAGCTTCCCAACACATACGCACACACACTTTTTCCCAGGCAAAATAGATGGCTTAGGGCCCACAGGTTGGAGAGAGATCTTGGTCTTTGGGCTGTGTATGATGTATATCCAGGAACAAGTACACACCCAGAGAACATAGATTGGAACAAAGGTCGCACTATTCATGAAGGGGGAGCATTCATGTAGTAATAAACAGGATAGATAGATTTGCTGAGAAGTTCGCAACGATTGTTGCTTGGTGATGCTTGCTTCACGGTGTTGCATTCCAACCAATCATGTTCCATGTTCCGGTGAGGCAATCTGTACAACTCGACATGACGCTCAGGCAGTGTTCCACTGCTTTGCGTTCGACAATCATCACACCCAACCGCCACTGGCCTCTCTGACCTCGCCGTCACTGCGCCAGGTGAAGCTAAGGACGAGGCCGGCACCGTGGTCTCCGGGACCCCCTAGCATCGATCTCCTATGTGTTGTGACGGAAGACTTTCATGGCGAAAAAACCTCCTGGAGGAACTGTATGGAACAACATGGAACAACAGTGTCCAATATATTTCCAAAGTGTCCATAACATTGGTACAATAGTTTGGAGTGTGGTTGGAACAGCTTCCAAAGCTGTACTTGGTCATCCATTTCCCCGCCGAAACCCTCAGCTCCTTTCCCCGTCGGTCTCCGGACTCTCGGCTCTCGGGATTCTCGAGATCCTGGAGTCCGAGTCCGTCGGATCGTTTTGGGCGACGTCTCTCGCGACGTTTCTCGAGATCATGATCATCATGTGTTTCGTTTTGGTAGAGACTGCCATGATGTTTTTTTTTTTTTTTTTTTTTCGGTAGAGACTCATGCAGTGGATCAATGGACTTGATCGATTGAATTGGCCCAGCTCCAGCAAGAAGTATGCGAAGTGGGATGTTGAACGTTTGGAAGACTTTGGAATTGAAGTCCTTTCAGGATGCTTTCTGGGCCAGTGAATACCTCTCCTTTCAGCTCTCCTAAACATGGCTGGTCGGTCGGACCTGTTTGCTTCCGCCATCCGAATCCGTCCTGTTGATTCAGACGACGGAGGTTGAGTCGTTGGAGACAGAACTGACCTACGGTATTTTCGTACTGTCATACGAACGACGCAGTGACAGTTGAAGGGGCCAGGTTTCCGATTTATACTGTCAGAGGGGCCAGGTTTTGTTGTGCATGTTGTTTGCACATTCCGACTTCCGTCCACATCATATGATGTTGATGGAGCGGGACAGACAATCCGTGCAGCAGGTGCAGTTGGCAAAAGAAGCCGCCGAAAGCAGGCAGGCCAAGTGAGCTGTTCATCCTCTTCATTGGTCAAGCAATGTGAAGCAGGAATTTGACCTCCGACTGAAAATGGATTTGAACATCGATAATTTGTCAGAAAGGCTGCGTCGCAAAGGCACTTTGAAACTGAAACAGGCCAGCATGTATGATGTGCGCAAAAACCACAGCCTTGTTGACCACACAAAGCACTTGATGCAGTTGATCTGGAAGTTCTGAAACTCTTGCTCACTGCGCTGGTCCCAGCATGTTTTTTTGGAGGACCGACACTGCCCCAGAAACGATCTTTGACAAGATTATCCGGAAGGACGGGTTCTGGTTCTGGCCAAATGTAGGCCATGAAAAGGAGTGCTGCAAGAATAGAGCTGACATGAGACAGGAGGGTGCTTTTTTCTAAAACCCCAATTGTCCAACTTTGGTTCTCAGGCTTCCTTGTGTTCTTACAAGCCGTTCCGCCCATGTGATGCTCGGCTTGCGTCATGGGCAGCCTTCCGATCGTCCACGGCGCTGACAACCCATGACGCCGTTTTCTCCAATTCACGGTGCTTCACGGCGCAAAAAACGTCGGATAGCGGCGCTTCACAGATGATTCTCTCCTACTAGTATCGATAGTATAGATACATTAAGACGCAACATGTCTACGTTTTCTTTGTAGAACTTCTTGTGCCACTTGTGCCATGCATGGCACAGGTGCTCTCGACTCAGCCCCCTCAGGGCCCTCAGGCTTCGCCTTCATTCCACATCGGTTTTGGCCGGTTTGGTCCAGAGTTGATGGATTACGCTTTCACCAATCGGTGCTTCTAGCTTTTGGAAGAATTCAGCCCAATGACCCCTTAACCCCATGCCCCTTACATGCTTCTTATTCCCAACACTTGGTCCTTCTCTTGGAACCCAATCCATCAGGTTCACCAATCGGTGCTGAAGATGCCCTCCAATGAATTGTATGATAGAAGCACATTCATCGTAAACGCGTTTGCACACCTGATTTCTTCCTCCGGTCGGGCTCGGTGGCTGGCTAAACCACCAGGAGATTCCTTCCAAGATCGTTTTCGAGGAGCATCCGGATTCACGGACTGGACAGGACGATCAGAAGGAACAAACCATGGCAGCTAAGGAGTACGCCGCGGAGTACGGAAGGTCTTGCAATGATCCACTTGTAAGCATTGTGTGGGTTGAGCGCCCATTAGATGATCCATATATAAGATATAACATATGAATTGACCCTGTTTACATCCCGTTTCTTGGACATACCAATTTGGAGTTCTTTATTTTCAACGTGTTTTTCATTCTTGAGCTTATGGCCCTCAACTGGAAGGCTACTATTAGACTGATGTCCCCTATATAATATTAATGTATATAAAACAAATAGAACCAACATTAATTGATTATAATTGTTTCTAATTGGGTATCATTAGGAAAAACTGAAAATCATTGGAAAACATAAGTGCAGATTATTGAGAAATATGAGGAAAAAACACACATCATCCACAATCTCAGCACACTCATTGCTGCCTTTGTTCTGCTCACTTCTTGTTGCATAGCCCCAGGCTGTTGCATACCAAAATTGAGTGCCTGTGGCTGCCTGGGATGAGCTAGCTTAGAAAACCCAGGCAACAAATTATTTGCTTTGCAAACATGTTGAAACAAAGACATGCCAAGGTGCATCACATTTGATGGCTGGCTTTGCATGTTGGTCACTGGTACTCCAGGTGGAGACCCAGAAGGCCTCACCAAGCCCAACCAATTTGTATGGGACTGATTCCTACTATTTCACAGACCCTTTACCTACATGTCATGTTTGAAACAATGAATTCTTCCTGCTTCACTACCTCTGTTGTGAACAATTCTGAAATTTCAGCCATGCCACATTCTGCCAGAGTTCTTTCTATCCAGTCGCCCTCTGTCCCTTCCACCACCCATGGCTGGAGTTCTGTTGCCCAAAACCCACTATTAGAGCCACAGTTGCTGGTGGGGCAAGGGCACAATAGTTGAGTTGCCCACCACTTTCCAATGGGCTAGAAGGTGTGGATCCCTGACTGCAACAGCAGTAGCAGGTGGACCAGTGTGAGCCATTGATTGTTTAAGAGGCACCTAGTTGAAAGAAGGAACCCCCAAAATAGAAAAACATTAGAAAAAATTGACTCTATGTTTTTCAATGTTCTTCAATGAAAATCAATGAGGGTTTTACCTCAAATGATAGCCTTCCTGATGGACGCCTCAGCCTCATGAAAGAGTTTTCTTGCTTATCTTTGTGACTTGGCACGGTCCCCAGGCAGCCAGGCACCCCGGTGGGTTGGCCTGTTTGACCAACCCCCCTCCCCGCCCCTGCTGTTGGTGGCGGAGGGGTCGATGTGTGTGTGTGTTGCTTTCAAAAGTGTTCAACTTTGTTCACCCAATTTCGCACGCTTCACTCGTTGAAGTCTGCCAAAAAGTCTGTGAAACCACCCAGTTGTGTTGGAAACCACCGGATGCGAACCGAACAACGTCCAGCTCCGAAGCTGCGAAACGAACGCAGGATGATCGCGCCTTGGCCTTCCGGGATGTGAGTCCACAGGCGTGGAAGACGCACGAAGCTGCGCGTGTCCCGGAAAATCGCAGGGAAAAGATGATGATGTGGGGGGTTAGAATCAAGGTGTATGAGGAGGTTCAAGTTTACGTAATTGTGACGAGAGTGATCCATAGGGTTTTTGTTCAAAGGTCAGGTATGTTGGTCGATTGGGACATGTATAGTGGAGCGTACTTCATACAATTCTATGGTGTGCACTGCTGCACTACACGCTAACCTTCACAGCGGTCGACGTGTTTGATAGGGAGCAGGGCGCGTGTCGCACAAAACCAGCGTTCGGTCCTTGGTTTGGTGATGAAGTGTGATGGAGTGATGGCGATCGCGGCCAAGAGATTGTGGAAAAGACATGGGCTGCCTTTGAGTCATACCGAGTCCCACCCCGGCGCTGCTCTTTTGCATGTAAAGAGGTGCCTCGCATAGTGTAAGTAGGCTTGATGTGGACTGGGCTCCATGGCTCGCATTGCGTGCATGGCTCGGCATGGTACACATTCACATGTCCGCCCATCATATCCTAATCATTGCTGTATGAATTTGCATCTGGATTTCCACACCTCTCAAGGGTCCCAAGAGGTTGCCTCCCATCAAAGCGGGGGGGGGGGGTCCTCAGGCGCCGGTGCATGTCTTGGTGATTCCCAAGGTGCGTGATGGCCGGGGTTGCCAAGATGGAGGGTGTCGGATCCGTTTGGCCCATAAGACATCCTCGAAACCCGGTGTCCACGAAGACAGAGAAGGGCAGAGAACTCATTTTGGATCATTTTGGGGGATACACTGATAAGCTATAATGCGGCAGTGAGGTGAGGGAAGGAGGTCAGGTCAGTTTCAGTGGCAGTGTTCATTTGATATATTTATCATTTAATGTTGTGAACTTACCGTCATCAAGCGACTGAGCTAGAAAGCTCTCTAGGTTCTCCCGGGGTGCTCACCAAAGTCACATGCTGAGGCCTTACCCAGCTCCAAAATGCCCGAGAGGACCAGGAGGTGTGCAAACGAGGAAAGCTGGAGAAATCAGGTATGAGAGCTTCCAAGATTATATAATGTCCGTGAATGCATGCGCCTTTGTTTCATTTGTGCACATAAAAGTGGATGGTGTCTGGATAGTGTGGTGTGGCCGGAGCCAGCCTGGAGCTTCCAAGCGTGTGCTGGAACATGCAATCCACAAGTTGTGACAAGCCTTTGGAAGGTTGTGTTCTTCTCCATGACATGAAGATGAGTTTTTGAGACGATCTCTTCAGTCACCGCAGCCAAGTGAAGAACCAAGCTCAGCCAAGCTCCGAGCGGAACGATAGAGAGCGCCTTGCTCGTTCACAGTTCGAACAAGTCGCCTACCACGGCCTACCCCGGTGACGCCGTGATGACGGCTGTGTGTGCGACAAAATCCATTGGCTATTGTGAGTCGTTTGTTTGTGAGTCGTTTGTTCATGAGAATCTGCACCGGTGTTGTTTTTGATGTGTTTTGTTTGTGTGGATTTTACGATTGAGTATGTTTGAGTTGAAAATCCGGTGACCCCAATTGGGGCTGAGCCAGGGGTTAAATCTGCCAGATTTGTTGATTCTTCTGTTCAGTATCGAAAGGTTTGCCCCTCTTTTTGTCATGACCTCCCAATGTAGACTGTTGAGACTAGAAGACCCCACGCATGCAGATGCAAAACCATTCCGCCGGTGTCGATTCATGACAAGAAGGGTTTCTTTCGACACCGGCGTCGATCGTCGTTTCTCGTCTTCCTCGTCCGGCGAACGGCTCGTGCTTGACGCGCGTTCGTTGGAGTCTATTTGGGGATCGTCCAGGAGCGAATGGTAGGAGCGAATGCTCCTAGTAACAAGTGCATCGCTTCTAGTAACAAGTGCCTTACTAGTAGTAACAAGAAGCTATTAGAATTAATTTAAAATTAGTAAGAATGCTCCTAGTAGCGGTGCCAGGAGCCCCGAACGTAGCGTCCTTGCTCCTACTAGTAAGGCCAGGAGCCCCTAAGGAGCCCCTAGTAGCTTCCTGTGCCTTTGCTGAAGGTGTTTAACTTTTTCCAGGCTCCGACTCAGCAAATCCAAGTTGGGTGGGTCCTCGGTAAACTCGTCAATCGGGTGTTTGGAGGGGTGGCCAGGATGCTGTTGGTGTTGGTCCAGCCTCATAGGAGCACGTAGATGTTCTCCTGGATCAACCACTGAGGTCCTGGGAATCATAGATCAACCCCGGAGTTGGTGTTGGAAATCCCACAAGTGACTCGTTGAGAGGAGACATACTTCTGCAGATGGTGAGGAATAGTTTGCTCTGTTTGGAGTTATATACTGACCAACAAATGAAGAGATCTATTTAGACATAAACTGTGGCGACTTAGTCAGAACTTCCTTTGGGGGTTGAATCTCGACGTCACTGAGTCTAACATATTTGGCAGATCGAGGCCCCTCAATCGGCAACACCCATCAATCGTCCAGGGGGGACTCAGGTTGTTTGTTGTTTTTTTTCCACTTCGGCTTGGCACTGGGGCACCAGCTGCTTCTGAAAAATCCGTCTTTGGCTCTTTGAGGTCATGATGTGCTCCATTGGGCAACTGCTGCTTTTCCTGACCTCCAGTCAGGTCGACTCCGGGGAGAAGGGGTTTAGGGTTTAGGCTGGCCTTAAAGGGACATGCTGACATTGGAAGTGATGAAGAGGAAAGCAAACAGGGTAATTAGGTGTTCACAAAGAAAAGATAAGAACAGCTCTTCATTTATCATCTTGCTTCTATTTGCCAGGTTGTGGCGGCTTTGCACTATGAGAGCCACCAGCATCGCAGCTGGACACCGTCCGCCCTCAGCGGCTTGCAGATGCGTGTGCAGATGGCCAATCGTAGACAGTACATGGTTCTAAATGTTCTAAGTTCATATGATTTTCGATGTGAAAGCATGTGATAGGTATTCCTTGAAGGCGCTCAAGGCGCTCAAGGCTTGTCAAAGATTGGTGAACCCCTTAGACCCAATGTGGTTTCAGTTTGCTATATTGAATGTATTGAACTAGAACAAGACTCAAGGCTGTTTACCGCAGTTGCCGACGAGGCTCAATAATTCGAGAGGGAACCCCAGTCCATATCAATATCTATATAGTTGTACTGTGCAGGTTTGCCGGCCATTCAATGCTTCCATTTGGAAGATGCAAGAGCAAATGCACAATGTTTGCTGTGTGGCTAGTAGCAGCGAGGCAGTCTGGTTCTCTTTTGGTCGATCGGCATGATGGGGCACCAGACACAATCTACAGTGCATACGAATCTCTGCGAGACAAAGCACATGAAGCTGCTGCGAATGTAAGCAATATCGACTGGAGCCACTACAAAGATGAAGCCTCGGCTTTCGCCAATGCCTCCAGTACATGGTTGAAATCAAAGTGGCGAGAAGTGAGCCATGCCCATTGGGATCAAAGTCAGGGTACGTTTTTGAAAGCATGCAAAGAGCTGCGCCATCACAAAGAATTTATCGAGGCGGAGTTGGTCAACTTGACGTCTAATGCAAAACTGGCATTTGACAAAGCAATGATTGCCTATGAAGCCCGCAAGCCAGAGACAGGAGACCTACGGATTGAGTGGCCCTGTGCCTACAAAGTCCTTGTTGGCGCAAACTTGGTCGGTGTCGGTACTGCTGTTACCCTTTCCACACTGCTCCCACTGTTTCTGAGCATATTGGGCTTCAGTGAGACAGGTGTGTCCGCAGGCGCTGTGGCTGCTCAGTGGCAATCTACCATTGGGAACGTGAAAGCAGGAAGTTTGTTTGCATTGCTGCAATCCATATCAATGGCGGGCCTTTCAGGGTCTCAAACTGTTTTGATCGCGAGTGCAGCGGCAACTGCGACGACATCTATACTGACAATAGTATGCTCTCCATCTGAATTTGTGATGCTGTCGTGATGGTTTGTCTTTGTTTCCATCTCTGTATGTATGCAGTGCAGCTCTTCCCCTTTTCTTTGATGCACGACCCCGAAAGTTTGGAGCGGGCGCAGTCTTGCCAGGGAAAAGGGTTGAGTGCAACGAGCGTGACGGGGAACGCTTGCTTGGTAGAACTTATACGCAGAGTTTGGTGTGGCTGTGCAGACTCAGACACCACAGTGAAAGCACAGGTACCACGTGGTGGACAAGGAGGTTTCTGGAAAGAAGGCAGGGACAGCAGAGTATATCTCTTCGGTGGGTCCTTGTCACATGGGTGGGAGCTGTTTGCAAGCGTCCAAGGCAAGCTTGCAGATCTTGTTGAGGGAGACATACAGCCGGCTCACCACTTTGGTATGGATCCATGTGGATCCGTGTGGTTTCTTCATTGTCCCGAGAGGACCAACAGTAGACCCAACGCTGCTGCCAATCGCAGGTTCAACAGGTCATTCGTACATGGCTTGCTCAGGGAGTTTCATTGGGTCAAATCACCATCAAGAATGGAACTATATAACTAAATAAGGCCTACAATACTGTAACCCTGGTATTCTGCATGGGTGCTGCATGACCCACAATCTGCTCAGATGTGGTGCAGGTCGGGTGCCTGTGAGTGATGAACCATTTCTCTCCCAGGCTTTGCAGACCCAGGGCCGGTCACTCTTTAGAGTCATTCCTGACAAATATGAAGAGACTTCCCCTTTTTGCAGCCAGACACCACTCATGTCGCCAGACACCTTCTCTCCAGACTCCAGCGACATGAGACCTTTCACCCCGACTCCTCTTTCGCGGCCCGACTCCTCTTCAAATGTCTTGCGAAAACTTCCCCATCGCTCGGAGAAGCCGAGCGCTACCTGGAGCGCTACCTGTCACGTCGACAGGAAGTTCTTGCTGCGCGGGGGAACCCCCCGAGGGACGCGCAGCCGGGCGCTTGGGCCAGCCGGGGGCTCCGTGACGGAGCCAGCCGTCCTGCGGTCGATCCAAACGCAGAAGCTGGGAGCACAGATAGACAGATCCAAGGGTCTCCACGTGCATTCACTCTTCATCCCTGTTCTCCGTTCAGTGGATCTTGCGTTCAGGTCATGGATCCTGGAAAACAGATGCAGATATTACACTTCCCTGGGACAGATGAACTTCTTCTACGGCTGTGGTTGGTAGGTTGAATCCAAATGAATCCCTTGGAGCTTCCCTTGGTTGGTTGGTGGGTGGTCTCAAGCATAGATCATCGATCGGATCGAGGTGTCAAAGACATGTGTTAAGAGGGCTTTTACATGCTTTTCTCTTCATTACTCTTCTATCGTGTTGGAGGTCACTTTTTTTCTGGACGTTTCAGTATAGACCGCCATAAACGGAAGTATTCCAGTTTTCTTTGATAGCTCGGCCTGCACATGTTCCGTCCCATAAGCTAACTTCGAAACAAATAGGCAACTATGTTACAAGCTGCGTGGGTTTCCCTACAAATTGAATGAGGGGTCCTGGGTATACCTGCCCATTATTTGACACATCCCCGACTACTTCTTAAAGTGTACGAAACGTGGACAGGTCATTTCAAATGTGGGTGAATAGCAAAGCAAGCAAAGTTGCAAATGATGTCTTCATGCTATGATTTCAGATACCAACCCATTCCTTTTGTTCGCGCAGCAAGCGCTAATTCCAAAAGCAGTAGACTCCTAGGTATGGTGTTTCACTGCACAGCCTTTTCACAAATGGGGCCCATGACAGGAACTTGTAGAAACAGCGCCGCAGAGCCAAGCGCCAAGGTTAGCGACTGGTGAGGCATCCGCGGCATCCTCCTTCATGAGGCCCAGAGGGGACTGTAGCATCCAGTCCAAGCCCCTCGCCCCTCGCTGTTCTGAGAGTTTCCACCACCTGTTCTGCGGTGTTGCCAGGACGGAACAGCTGAAGCAAGGCCGGGACCCAGCAAAGACATGGATTTCGATTTGAAAGTTTGAAAGGGGGGTATCCAGGCAGGTAGGTTGCCTACCATTGGACCCTCATATATGCATTTCTGTTCAAAAGATATAACTAATCAATTGGTGAAAAGGCTGCTGGCAGACTGGCAGAAAACCTGAGATAGCAATTGTATGCCTGATACTGCTTCAGCAAATCATTCACTCTTCTGGTGAGGTTTGTGGTGTTTTTGCACTGATGTAAAACACCTGGCCAAAATCAACCCATTGACATTGAACACTGTTGGTGCCCTTGAACTATTTGGGCACCACCCTTGGAGCCGACCCCTTTGCTCCCCAAGCTCCCAGCACACGGGTCCAAGCTCCAGCCTAGGTCGAGAGATGGCGATGAAGACTGCTCGCAGGCACAGGTCAGAGGATCCCAGAGAATCTCAGATGTGAGGATGATGTGACCCGGATGATCCTGGGTTTGCCGACTGGAATGGTGTATGGAATAGATACCTAGAACACATTGACCCTTAAACCATCTCAAAAGCATTCAATAACAAATACACCTTTTTCAACGAAAGAATCATGGAAGTGGACTTGTCCCATTTGTGAAGCAACATGGTCTTTCCAGTGCCCATGCCATCCATTTCCATTATTTCAATCAGTGTAGAAGTATCGACACCATCTCCGTTTCGTCTCCAGTCACCCCGGAGACTCGGGTGTTGGCCGGTCGGGCCGAGCCTCGTTTTCGCTTTGGCAAATGCTGCCAGGTTGCAGCATGACGTTCTGAAAGGGCTGCTGCCAGTGGCTGCTGCTGGGTGTGAACGGAAAAGCCGTGAAACATGTGTATAGTATAGTGTGTTGAAGCCATCAAAAATAAGGCTGTGGCTGCAGAGGTCAACTTCAACTGTTTCCTTTTCCTCAGCTTCTGGAGGTTGTTTGTTGAGCAATGTTGAACCCATGGTTCAAGCCGGCAAAAGCTGTCTTTGATACACGAAGTGCTTCTCGCCAAGGCCATTTTTCTGAAATGTCTGTTAATGGCTCAGGCTAGCTTCAGCCTTCTGCTGGGCTGTGTGGCCAGTCGACTCATCCCTGCACCTGGGCGGACAGTTTAAGGATGTTTAAGGACTGTGTCACAGATGTCTCAATATGAACCAAGAATGCATGGTACACAGGAGGGAATTGATCTCGGCGATAGCTAAGCATGGAAAGAAATGGAAATCACAGGTCTGACGGATCAGACCAATGACAAACTGCCACCTTCCTTGATTCCATGGGGGACATCACATGTGCACAAAGCAGAGAATCAGGGGTTGTGTTTGAGTTGCAACCAGTGAATATCAGATGGTTCTGGGATTCCAGGTCTCGCCAAGAACGACCAGCTGCAGTTTGCCCGTGGAAACGACACCCTTGATGAGACTCTGAGCCAGTTCTCCTGATCGCTTTGGAGACCCAAGGGTGTCCGTGGTTTCATGTATTAATAGAAACAAGTGCCACGCTAGTAGTAACAGGTGCCTTACTAGTAGTAACAAGAAGCTAGTAGTAAATTAAAGGATGGGCTGGACAGACATTGTCCATCACTCCTATTGGAGAGTCGAAGGACCACATGCTGGAGTTGAGGTGAGCTGCAGGTGGAAGGTAGCTGTTCACTGGTTCACTGCAGCTTTTAGGGGTGTGTGTGTGTGCTTCAACTTGCATCCCATCTAGGTGGTGGGAATTCTTACATAAAATACTGACCGAAAAAGTCCCTGACCGAGAGTCTTGTTTGACTTCCACAGCTTAATTACTTCCCAGTGGAGCGGAGGTCCTTAGGGGTTGAAATGCAGTATCCTTCCGCACATGTCTTGACATGCCATGAAAGGCCAGACTCCTTTGTGCTGACTTCTCCGTCCTCACACCCGAGAAAAGCAGATGTTTTAAGCATGTCCAGCTCTGAGTAGTCGATGTTCAGAGATTTGCACAGTGCCACCACACCACTCTAACAAAATAATATGGCACTTGATAGGGGTCTATACTTTTCGGACGACTGGGAAGGAGAGGCATTGGCACTCTGCTGTGTTTGCCCTTGGCCACCTGGCTTGTCATTTGCACCACCTGTCGTGGATCCAATCGATTCACAGTGAGGCTGAGAGATTCTTTTGGCAGGCATGCAATTCCACTGCTGATTGCCGGATCGCACGGTGATTCCGTTGCTGTTGAGGTAGAGAAAGATATCGAAACAGGTATGCAATATACTCAACAGATGTTGTTTTTACTCTAATGTCATTGCTGTTTAGGTGTTGCCTCGCATGTTCCCTTCGTGTGTGGCAGGACATTTCCGAATTCAAACCGGATCCGCATGGGACTAGGATGGTTCCGGGTTTGGCAACAGGCCTCCTGGCTTGGATGGCAGCCGTTGGCCGTTGCGTGAAGAGAAAGACCTGGGTCTTTGATGGGTCGCAGCTGGACATGTTGATCCTTCCCATAATGATCATAGTGTGTAAGATGTGTAAGACTTTCAAAAAACTAATGTTGATCATTTGGACAGCATCATCCAAGTGCTCAGTGCCGCCATGATCCCCGTCCATTTACCGAGCCAAAAGGAAGGTTGGAGGTCTTCAACATTCTTCAACCGTTTTGTGTTGAGCAGGGCATCAACACATTGCTCCTTCAGTCACTCTATGGAATTATCTCATCCACACTGGAGATGGTTTCGCAGGAAGCCCAGTCCAGACCCAGGGAAGGCCATTGCATGCATTGAGATAGACTTGCCCACGTTTACTAAACCGAGCATCTGAGTGAAAGGGAAATGACGGATGCTGCTTACATGGGAAGCTGTGAAGAACCTAACATGTTCGAACCAAAGGTTCCCTCCAATCCCAAGATTTGGGTGAAATGGTCAACTAGGTCTACCCCAGTTAGCAACAGTCGAGAAAGACATCTCGTAAGAGCATGGTCGGCAACTTCAGACCCCAACAGACCTTGCTCCACTCACAGCACGCCATGGTCCCAGGCACTCCTGGGACACCTCCTCTATGTGGCGAGTCGCGTGGGCAAAGACGAGTGCCCCGAAGGTTCGCGAGATTGCGGTTGTTTACTCAAGGTGTCCAAAGACCTTCGGCCATCTTCGTCCAGCTGCTTTGATTGTGATGAACACATCGATTCATACCTGTGAGTGGCTGATCTCGAAAAGATAGCTTTGCCAACTTTGCAACTTTTGCCATGATGGGACCAACCACCTGTACATCACCTGAACGAAAGATGAGTTAGTTTGAGTCCAAGCAATGATGCAGCTTATTAAAACATAAACACACACACACATATCACCAGCAGATACATTGAAGTGTTTGCCAAACTCAACGGCCCCCCGACCATGCTGACGTTGAGAGGAAAACAAACGTCCATTGATAAGAGACCGCTTACATTTCATCACGTTTCACTCGAAATCTCGTGTCCTTTCAGGTCCTTTTGCGGAACTAAAGACACAGTGGCTATGAGCCAAAAAAGTGTATCTCCAAACCTTGGTCGGCAATGCAGAACCAGCAACACCATTTTGCAGCTATCTAACAATCGAGCATCGTGCAGGTTATCGCATCGTCATCAACGACGGCAAGCATGGAGCACAGGTGGAGCGTCGGTGAAAGTCGGTCAAGAAGGTATTTCAAGGACATGGCTGTAAAGAGTACTCTATAGTACTCTTGGTGTTCTGTCGTTTTGCTGTTTGGTGGATTTTGGTAGGGCATTCTGTTGTTCTGAGTTGTTCTGATACAGAATACTCTTGCCACATGATATGCCTCCAAGATCTTACAAAGGCGTGCTCAAAATGAAACCACCAAGGTTTTGGCCCTACAAATGGTGCCCGAAAGGATTAGCATAAGAGCACCTGAGCACGCAGTGGTAATATTTTGATTCACAGCCTCACCTGCATGTGTGAATGTTAAAACATCTGGAAGGCACTGGCACATAATGGCACCAAAATTGATCAGAAAAACTGAACAGATGATCGTAGATTCAATAGATCAAAAACAACTAACTATACAATCAATCTTTGACGTTTGAGCAAACGGGCGAAGCGCGCACACCCGTGCGGCAGTCGGTCTACCACCTCCATGTCCACGTGATGGGCGGCCGACAAATGGGTTGGCCTCCAGGATAGGAAAGCTTTCAATATTATGTATAATAGATTTCATTTCAAATGATTGAATGCATCAAAAGAAAATCAATATATATATTTTTTTTTCAATACATATTATAGTATTAAATATTTTAGCTATTAATATTATTCGGCGGATATAGTATGGAAATGTATATAATGAATATTATATATATATATATATTTAGATGAAATATTTGATAAATATATATATTAATATAGAATTTTATGTATAGATTAAGAAAGGGACGTTTAATATTTGGAATATATGTTATTGTCCGATTGATTTGTTTATTTTATATTTTATTGGGATAAGAATTCTTTTTGTTTTGATTTGATTTACGATATATATTATTTTAATGGGTTTGGATAATTCTGTAATATCGATTTATGATGGGATTTATTTCGTAAGTTTATGGAATTTGATATTTATTTCTAATTATTTAGTTGAATTATAATAATTAATATAAAAAAATATTTATTATTATTTGGATTATTTATAATATAATATATTAATATTTCGATTATTTTTAAATATAATTTTACGAAATTGATTTATATTAATTTTTTTTTACTATTATTTTATATATTTGAATTTTGTAATATTTTTTTTTTCGAAATATATGGCATTTAAAATATGTTTTTATTGAAGGCATATTTTATTTAGCATTTGGATTTTAGGGATATTGGAATATAAATTCGAAAAATTATATTAATTTATTGATTATATGGCATTTAAAATATGTTTTTATTGAAGGCACATTTTATTTAGCATTTGGATTTTAGGAATATCGGAATATAAATTCGAGAAATTATATTAATTGTTTGATTTTTCTTTGTATTATTACTATAAAGAATAATTAAACCTAGATAACGGGTTGATTTGGCAACCAATATAAAATTAATCTACCGTGAAATTAATGAAGCAGAAGATTATTTGATTACCATCCCATGGCGGTTGTATTTTTCGTTGCAATTATCGGAGAACTATTAGCTCTACTGGGGCTTTGGGGAGAACATCTTTTGTTTTTTTGGCGGATGCTAATTGGCAATTGATAGACCTTGTTCGGGATGAGTCCTTTTAGACTCTTTACGAGTCCTGGATAATGGGTCACAATTGGATATTCTTAACACAATTGATGGATTCGTAAGCAATTTATGCACCACCAAGCATGGGGATAATCTGCTATCGGATGGCAATGCGCTTGCAAACCAATCTTGAGGATTCCGGAGTTTTGATCGTCCCGATCCTGCATCGTTATCCGGATCAAAAGACCTGTTTATTCCAAACCATGATTTATGCATCGCACAAACAATCCCCCTCCTAAACGCGTGCTTGTCCGAACATCCTAACAATTATTTACAATTTGAGCGATTCCCAGACTTACATACTAAGCACAATTTGAAAATTGATTTTGCCAGATCAAGTGCTGAGATGATTTATTTTTGGGCGAGCCACCGGCCTTCAAATGCATTGGGCTGAATATCGTGTCGTGAACATTGCATTTCATCTGGGTGATGAGCCCAATACAAGACTATCAGTCCTGTTTGTTGAGTAGTGGCAATCTATGGATGGCAGATGATGTCAAATCGCCTTGATTGAATCGACTCTTTCCTGAGCTGCAGACAGATTGTTACCTTTTTTGGCTTGCGCCTCAGAGCCAACTTGCACACTTTTGCAGGCGTCCTTTTGAGCCTGTGTCCATGCCAAACCAATGGATTCAGCTTTTGGCCGACGCTTTTCGATGACCTTAGGCTTGTGCCTATCTCCGGGGCTCCCGATGCTCACGAAGCATCCGTACATAATACGTTGTCCACCACGGGCCAAATAAGACCTTTGGCCGGAAGTGAAATGAAATAAATATATTTAAGGAGCTCCTGATTCTAATTGATTGTTATGGTTTAGCCTTATTAATTTTGTTATTTTGATAGGTGGAGCGCGGTGGAGGAGTATTAAAAGGAATAGATGGAAAGAATCCAAGGAATTATAGATAGGAGGATGAAATATAGGACGATTAAATTATATTAGATGATATTAATTAGATTTTTATGTCTAATAGGAGAAATAAGATATAATAAATTATCAATTTGGTATGGATTATGGAGAATAATTATTATAGAATATAATTCATTATTTTATGAAAATATGTAATGGAAAAGCTTATTTATCGTTAGAGAGATATGATTCTTTATATAATAATAGTAGATTGGTGGTTGGATTGGGTTGATGAAGATTGTAATGATTAAGGAACATATTTGGTTGCTATATATAAATATTTCGATCTTGGAGGTAAATAATCGAATTCGTGGAGCTAATGTAAAGGAATATATTAAGAATCAATTTTTGAATAAAAGGCGAAAATAATGATTGATTGATTTATATATTTATATTAAAAAAATATGATTCTCGAAATAACATATGTATATATATATTTTAATATTTTAGAATTTATTTATTTCGATACAATAAATTTGATTGAAATTATTCTTGGACAATAAAATTATATTATAGATAATTTATTATAACAGAACAATCTGGAAAATAACTAGCACGCATAGCTTTGGCTAAAACAATATCCATTGAGGGAATTGATGTTGGGTCGACAGAAATTAATTATTATAGGCCAGAATTCGTGCACTTCTAGGTGAAAAGCAAGAAGCCGGACAGGTGGAATAATCATTCCTGGCAGATTATAAAATTATGCTCGTCGATGATTTCAAATAATTTCTTCCACCCCAAGGCGGCAACCTGGCAGATGTTCCGCATCATCTTCGGGTGGGGCCCCATGAGATTTGCAAAGCGCCAGACCCCATGGCAGATGCGGGCAGGCGAATGATGTGGGAAGATATCGAGGAAATGGTGGAGCTCATCGACCGAGAAAGATGCAAGGACGAATGGTGGATGAAATCACGGACGAGCTCCAAGCCGGCCATCTGTCGGAGAACAATTGGCGCTATCTCCATGGCTTCGGAGCTTCTTATCCACGTCAAAGAATTTAATAACAGGTGTCGTTGTTCGCCACGATGATCGGCGCCTCTTAGAATCTTGCTTCCCTCAATCGTGGATCCCCGGGCCCATCGATGACCCTACGTCTCGATTCTTGTTCCTCTTTTGACAATTCGCATCCTTCTACCGGATAGGCCTTTAAAAAACAAAAAAATTGAAAAAGATATTGATGATTCTGCGAAATCTGGAGGAAGAGAATTTTCGGATCAATTGTGTAATAACATCCTCAATACATACTCCCATTTTAATATATCGTATAACGCATACTATTGATATAAATTGAAATTAAATGACATCGCCGCGGCGTTTCTACAAGGTGCCACAATTTAGCAAATCCTGTTATTGACGGTTCCGAAGGATGGCATTGCGATAGAAAATGAAGAATATATCGAATATCTGACCTATATATTCGTATTGATGAATATCTTCGAGATTTTTGATTGGAATTCATTCCCCACATATTAATAAAAATTAATCCTGCGATATACAACCTCAATAATAAGGAAAAATTTTGTCGAATGAACTATAATCATGTGGACGATTTGATTCGATAAAAAGAAATCAAAAAAGATTCGCCTTTCTGGATTAACAAGCCATGGATCGTTTAGAATCTATGAATTCTTGATCGAGGAGAAACACGATTATGTCCCCATCACATGCCCCGAGACCTTGGAAAGACAAAATCTTGGATGAGATATCCAATTGCGGAGGCAACCACAACAGAATAGACCCAGATGAAGTATTCGGAAACCTAGCTTAGGGGGCGCAACCATATCATCCGGACCTATCTTATGAATGCAGCAATCTTTAATCTAGGCAACATATGCCGACCAGGATTTAATCGTGACCAATAAACTATTTGCTACAATCCAGAAAACTAAGGATAATAACATTCATTTCTGCAAGAAGAAATTCCGTTTTCACGATATCATCTTATTGTCGGTCATTGATGCCTCCTTTGGAGGCGAGATTTCGATGGAAGAAAATAAATATAAACAAGAATATAGATCTCAAGGAGGTCGATTTCTATTAATCATATATAAATCGTTTTCATCGGTAATATAAATAATTTGATCTATAATATTTCCTTATATTATTCGTAAATTGATCTTAATTCATATCTTTAATTCATATCTATTAGAATTGATCTTTGATTTCTTCCGATATCTTTGTCACGATATTTATTTCGATTATTTGGCCATTAATCTGCCAGAATTCTTGTTTCAATGCCGTCATAGCATTTGTCTAAGACGTTGTTGGAATATTCGCTTATAATATATAAATAATATTTCGCGATTCAATAAATCTTCATTAAATCGGTCGATTGGAATTTCTAGGTTCCAAATCCTCGTCCAATCATCATTAAATATTTCAACCTAAATACGATTTTATATAAGGCCATTGGTTCAATATTCAAATCTTAATTAAATAATTCCTTAAATTAGATTATTCAAAAAATACCAAATTTATCTAATTAATATCTAAAAATCAAAAATTAATATCTAAAATTTAATCGAATTTAACATATTTCATAAATTTTAAATATTTAAAATATTTACAAAATAATTCATTCATATATATATAATTTAAATCTATAATCAATAATTTAATTTAATTTATCATTTTAAATCAATGTTCAAATTCAAAAAATATATATATTACTTGAGGCCGAGGGTAGGTGACGAAAGCTAGCAGGGGTGCATCCGAACTGATGGGACATCAAGTGGAATGAGGCAAATGCTCATGAGGTAAAATATTATGAATATATAAGAGAAAACACACAGCAATGACCTTAGAATTGAAGTCCCCCATAATTAATGAAGCGTGGCTGCACTTTGCCACACTGTTCGATGCATCCGATGTGTTCACGAAATTGTGAGTTTGTTAAATCTATTGCATCGTATCCCAAAATCTCCATGGAGGAGTTAAACCAATGTAGATGCCATAAGACGTATCCCAGAGGCAAAACAAGGCATCTTCCATGATTTGTCTAATTTCTTTTATCGATATCGATATCATAAATATATGAGCTTGTTAAATGTATTGCACCGTATCCCGG